GTCAACGAGTAAATGAGTCCGAATTACGTGGGCGTGTCAATGCCGGGAAAATGAGCTCCGTGGTATCTTCTGGCGAGAGAGAGAGGTTATGCAAAACAACGGCCGGATTAATGTTTCCCGCACGCGCGCTCGCATACGGTCTTATATATGTATATGCCTGAGCGGTCTCTCTCTCTCTCTCTCTGGTAGCGCGCGGGTCGCCGACACGCGCGACGATTGCATGCACACGGCGTTTTCGCGTATAGAGAAACGAATTAGCGTAGCGTGAGATCCCCGGGTTTGCTCGAGGAGGTCAATTTCTACCAGGGTAAATCTTGATTACCGCGAGAATTGTTTGTATATTTAGAATGTGCATTGTTACGTTTATATATACCACCCCGTGGAAGATTCCAATATATCCGCACGACCTCATTTATCATCAATGGGCTTGTCGTCTTGTCACTTTAGATATACCTGAACAAGTCGTTAGCTTTGAACAGCTGGAAAGGGACGGATCTCGCTCTCTCCGAAATGATGCGGCTTTATGATTTTATACATCGCGTTGATTTATGCCTCTCTTTTTCCATCAGTTTCGCAACGCGCCGTAATAATATAATGATGTATTATAAAACAATGTTTTAAAACGTTCTGTATACGTTTTTCAGACGCGAATTAGTGTATATTCGCGAGTAATTGCTACTTGTCGGTTTTCGATATTGCAGCGCGGCATTATACCGAGGAAGGGACTCGCGCAAAATTCAATTAAACGAAATGAAGAGACAAGTTTTTTAATCGAGCTGCGATTGGAGGCTTTCGTACGGAGAGCGAGTCCGCTAAATAAACGAAGGCAGTTTGCCTGCCGCCAATAATTACCACGAAATTAATATTTCGATAATCCGATGTGTAATAACATACATTTCGCGTTCAATCTGTGTACGTTGAATAAACTGCCGAGTCTCCCCCGGGGATTCACCATTAACGAGCGCCGTATCGCAATCCTATTTAATTACGTATAGCAATATATCGGAAATAATTAAGAGTCAGGTGGGGGAATGTCTCGCGACATTAAGCGCGAATCATAAATTAATTACGTTTAATCCACCGGCGAGGTGGTAGTTGCTGTGTACGGTCTATATATATCCATGTCGTGATCGCGATAATCAAACTTATATTAAAGCTGACGTATAAGGATATATATAAGTATGGAGTTCGATTATATTATTGCGATTAAACGATAATTCGTTAATGTCGCGCGTTACCTGCGCGATTTCATAAATTCACGTTTAATGCGCTTCCAAGGGCATGAGGAGGGACAGAGAGAGAGAGAAGAGAGAGAGAGAGAGAGAGAGAGAGAGAGAGAGAGAGAGAGGGAGAGAGAGGGGGG